AGTCATTTACAGCTTCCCTTCGAAACAATACAAATGTATTCAATGACCATTACATTGTCCTTTATGACCATTACATTGCAAAAAAATACAATTATGGATGATGCCTTCTCTTGGGTTGATACTGCTTCTTTCTCGTGCTATGTCTTCTACGCTCTTCAACTGCAGCTTGTGTGGATGGAGCCAAGTCTTCAACAGTAGTCCAACTACTCTTACCCACTATATCTTGTCTGTGATCTTCTTGGAATGCCCTGTTTAGCTCCAAATTGGTGGCAAACATGATCTGGCATGTATGGCTCGACAATATCATCAAAGATAAGAGTCGTTATGCACATTGCAGTTTGGAATGTCATATGCTTGTCATCAGAAATGGCTTCAGTAGGCTTGAAGTACAAATTCCCTATTACCTGTTATATGAAGTATAATTGCACATGTGACAATCAGTCAATACAAAATTACAAATACTATAATATAATTGAAAGTAATGAATATCAAAATACAAACTGACCTCATTCGGTTGGAGGTTATCTAATTCATGGCTAATGGGAGGCATCAAATTATGTGGATTGCAATAATAATTGTTGGGTGGCTCCAATCGTTTTGCCCTTAGCATATTTGGAGATATATTATACGGTATGGGTCTCATATGCATAATATGCTCATAAGACCAGCACTGTACTATATCAAAATATGATAAGTTAAAAAAAAAATTCTAAGTAGTCTAAAATATTATGCTTATATCTATACAAAAATTAAATTTACTTGCATAAGAGTGGCAGAACCACTAAAATACCTTCGCTTGAAAGTAAAAGCTTTTCTAAGGGAACGATATAAATATGCGAGGATTACAATACCCCCTACAAATCTGCTAGCTTGCTCAATATCTTCAAAGAACTGCAAGTACCTTGTTGGGACTGTTGCAACTGATGCATCAACGAAAATGGTAATGCTGATGAGGAAGAGTAGATAAACGCGAGTATATATAACTACTTCCACAGGGGTTGCATCAAGTGGCAATTCTCTAAAATTAGCCTTCAACCGTGAATGTTTTATGATTGTCAAGTTGCCTTCAGTGGGAAATATACCCAAATTGTTTTCTATGAACTCGTGGAGGTCACTAATAGCACGGCATGTAACAGGCTCACCATCCATAGCCAATCCTAAAATCTCGTACACATCAAATAAAGTTGGTGTCATCTCACTAATTTGAACGTTGTAATAGAAGGAATTGGTCTCTGAGCATTACCTCTTTGCATTGGCAGCAACCAAAGGATGATTATTTCGACCTGGTCGAATGATAGACAGAGCACCCAACTCAAACGCGTTCACTAATTGAACTTGCTCATCGGTTAGATGTCAATTGTTCAATTGAAATATCTTCTCATCGATTCTAATTTATTGTTTCTCCTGAAATATAATAAATAAAATGCATACAAGTCACAATATATATACACATGTACTTCCCATAAGCAATTGAAACAAACTACAATTTATTGAAAAACAACAAACTAATGGAAAGAGCAGATGAATATATTCATATACATGTCCTTCCCATATGAAATATGATGAATGTTCTAGATGAAGCTGTAGCTAGCTAGGTTCCTGAGGACCTCTAGGGTATCCCCCCTCTGGATGGACATGACTCATATTCACTGAAATCGAGACACCAATAACTCATTATGCATATTAAAATTACATCATGCATTTGCATGTACAATGCTACTCTAAGACAAGAATGCGATAATAAATTTACATATCGAACTATAAATGGAGTTACTAACACATCTGCAACTAGTATGTAGTCCATATATCAGTAAATCATATATCACTAACAATGGAATGGGCATGAAGTATAGAAGGCAAAACTTTTGTTCTTATATGATAACCAAAAGAGTGTTCTATACCATCTCTGTACGTATTCAAAATATCTGCTATAAGAAATTTTGAGTTACAAAACCCACACCCATTCATTATAACTCCATTTCATACAACTAAAAGATTGGTTAAAAGGGCAAGAAATAAAGACACCTATTTTTTGCTTTTATTATAACTCAAATATTATTTATAACAAAATACAAACAACAACATCCAACAACACAGAGTAACATCCAAAAATCTGTATTAAGCTACTAAATTTGAAATTACAAATCCAATATAGCACAAGTCATACATTTTCAATGATAACAGAGCGTGCTGTATTAAGCTATAGATTTCAATTTACAGATGGACTCATTTACATATAGTCACAAAACACAAACCCACATAAAATGAAACAAACAACATCCAAAAGCTTAAAAAATAATAGAAATAACCCCTAAAAATCAAAATAAGGCACTAATCGGTCAAAGATTCAAAGACATTCAAAATAAATAGAAAGCAATTTTATTATATTACGCATTTCAATAAGTTATACACTTTCAAATACAAAGGCATTGGCACAACAACACATTTAACTATACTAAGTTATTGATTTCAAGTTCTAATAAAACCCCAAAATTTGAAGTTCTCAATAACCCAAAATTTATAAATTTGAAGTTGTCATTTATGGATATTTATAGATATGTAAATTCCATCAATTAGACCCTATATCAACTGCTTCTACTCAAGTGTGAAATCCTAAATCACAATCTTATACAATGCTAACTTTTAAAAATCGATCAAGAAATCAGATTATACATACCTTCACTACAAATTTGAAATCCGCAAAATGCCCTCAAAATGCGTCAACTGCAGTAATGATCTGTCAAAATACTTCTATCCAGATCTAAATAGCTATTGTGATTGTGAGAAAGGTAAGAGAGAGTGAAAATTGCAAGGACTGAGAATTTCTTCGACCTGTGCAACGCAAGAAACAGTTTCGGATTTTTAAAACAAACCCCGTTTAATTTCAGTTGTTCAACAATCAAAACTGGATTTTTAGTTGTTCCACAACCGAAAACTTTAATTTTGGTTTTTTACACCCGAAAACTCTAATTTTGGTCGTTGAACAACCGAAATGTGTTTTAACTCAGTTATTAAACATCTGATAAAAGGGTAAAATCATCTTTTTAAATGAATTTCGTTATGAAAGGGACAAAACAGATATCCTCGTAATAATGGAAACTAAAAGGTGGCATATT